CGGAGCAGCAGCGCCACCCGGTGGCCCGGACGCGTGTGCGTGCCCGGCGGAGCGGAGGTGCAGCCTCGGGAGCCGGTGTCCAAGGCGGGAGGAGAACAGGGGCCGGAGGCGCTGGGGGGGACGGCGACACGTTTCTTGCGCCACCACACCCAGCGTGTCTCCCCCACTCGGCGTAATGCCAGAGCGACCCCGGACTTGCTCTGCGGCTCCGGCGGCAGGTGTCGGGGTCCCCGCCGGCTTGGCCCCGCCCTCTACCTCAGGCTGGCGGGAGGCTGCAGGCCCGAAGAGCCCCAGCAGGCTCATTCAGCAGCATCAGAAGGCGGGCTAAGAGAGGACACCGAGCAAAGGCCCTTCCCAGTGGCAGCCGCACCGGTGGGAGGGTCACGCGGCTCCCTTTCTGATCGCCCACATTCGTGCTGTTATTTCTGTAACATCGGGGACGCTGTGGGGACTCGGTGGGAAGAAACGGCCCCAGGTGTCGGGCCAGGCCCCCCAGCCCAGCAGCGCTCCCCATACCCGGCCCTCTCCCCCGCCTCGTGCACACAGGGACTTTCTGAAAGAGGTTTATTGTTGCTGCACCTCTTCTTGCCCCCGAGCGAGGGGCAGCCAGAAACAGACCAAGCAGCCCCCATCCAGCCCCTGACAGCGTGAGAGCTCCAAATCCCGTTTCACCACACAGCTCAGCACAGCAGAGAGACAAACACCCAGACACCCGAAGGCTGAGGACGGGACAGCCCTGACTTAGCACGGAGGGACCCAGACCCACCCAGGCCTCCTCCCCGGGCCTCGCGCCCCTCCTGACTTGCCCTCTGGTCACGGCAGCTGCGGCTTGGCCCTAATACCAGGCTCTTAATCTGCGGCCGGCCGCCGTCCCCCCGGCCACCGTCCCTCATCCAGGCAGGAGGCCCGCCTCCTTCTCCACCAGGCGGCTGACCGTGCGCAGGGCCAGCGGCAGGGCTGTGTTGGCGTCCCGGTGATAGCGGGGCTCGGACACCTCTGCGCTGGGCGTGAGCACAAACTGGGCCACGCTGGGCATCTTGAGCAGGGTCAGCAGCTCGGTGGCCCGCGTGCAGATGGCTCCCGCGTCCTCCTCACCGTGCACGGGGCTCGGCGCTGGGCTCTGCGCCAGGGTCCTCATCTTTGACAGGAACAGAGAGACCCTGAGGGTGAGCGGGTCCCGGTCAGTCAGCGGCAGATGCGCTCCTCACAGGAAACCCGAGTCCTTGTGGAGGGGCCCAGACCCCCGAGGCCTCCGGGTCGTGGGGCGTCAGCTGGGAGAGGTGAGGCCGCAGGGACGCCGCCCACGCCACCGGTGTCTGCCCGGAGCCCTCGTGCTGCGGGCCGCGTGCAGACCTCGGGCACCGGGAGGGCGCCGCAGCCAGCTCCCCTTCCCCTTCTGCCCCATCCTGTACCTGGGAATCAGGTCTTGGCTCCGGGAGGCCAGCTTGGTCAGTGTGGTCATGAGCACGGCGATGACCTGTGGGGGGCACTTGGGAAGGGCGGCAGACGGGCGGGACTGGGTGACCTCGAACAGCAGGGCCTCCAGGGCCTCGAAGAACCTGGTGATCTGCTCCACGGTGCACCGCCGGTCCCAGGACACGGACAGGTACTCGCCGACGGCCCAGGCCTGGGGGGGCACAGAGCCTCAGCCCCCTGCAGGCACCCCGGCGCGGGAGGGGGAGGGGGCGGTGGCCGGTGGCCGGCCTTACCACGGCGGCGAGCATGGCCTCTCTGCTGTGGACGCTGCTCACGCTCCCCACGAACTCCAGCAGCTCTTTCGCCAGGTCGACCACCAGCGACGGGTGCAGCGCGCACAGGGCCAGGAGCTGTGAGCTCAGCACCCTGCCCGGGGAGGACACTGCTGGGCCGCGGCCGTCCCCGGGCCCAGACCGCAGCCCCCATCCAGAACCAGAGCCGGGAGGAGGAGGGGAAAGCCTCTGAGCACCAGATTGAGGTGCAGACGGTTCCGGCCCCTAAAGGGCCCACTGTGGGGGAGGCTGGGGCTGGTGAGTGGCGTGGATGCAGGCCTGTGTGGACTGGGCCTTCGGAAAAGGGGACAGATGGTCTGGAAGCCTGCGTGGAGAGGGACTGGGCCAGCACCGGAGATTACAGACCTGGGGGAGGAGGAACCGGGGAGAGGAGCGCGTGCGGAAGCTGGGCCTGGGGTGATGCGGGGCGGCAGGATACGCACTGCAGAGGGCAGCTGAATGCGGGTGCAGCCTGGGGGGGTGGGGACTCAGAGGCAGGGCAGGCTGGGGGGGCAGGGGAGAGGGCAGTGAAACCGGGCTGGGGCTGGGCGGCAGGAGGGCCCACCTGTGCACACGGGCCTCATACTGGGGCACCTGGTAAAGGGAGTCCCTTCTCTCCAGGAGCACCAGCACCAGCTGGTTGGTCAGGGCCCCGTCGGCAAACTGGGGGTCAGGAGGGAGACACAGACTCAGCCCTGACACCACCCTCCCCCACGCTCTGCTCTGGCCCCGGCTGTGTCTGGCAGCCCGAGGCCGCTCTCGGGGAGGGACGGGCCGTGTGCCACCCTTCCTGGCGCCTCTCGCTGATCCACGGCGGGATCTGCGTTCAAGGACACCGCTCTGCCAAGGCCCAGGGCCAGGGCCCCCGCGGGAATGGAGGAGTCTGGAAGCGGGCTCACCTGGCTCACTGCGGAGAAGAACGCCTGGAGCAGGGTGGGCACGGCCTCGGCGCACTGGACCACGCGGGCGCAGCTGGTCATGGGCTGCAGCAGCTGGTGGAGTGGTGCCAACCTGGAGAACATGTCACACGTCCCCCCGAGTACCCGCCCTCCCGCTTCCCCGGGGCCCCCGGACATGCTCTCCACATGCCAATGGTTGGCTGGTGCTGGAGGGGAGAGGGAACGGGATCACCGTGCTGTGGCCTGGACCAAGTTCTGAAACGATGTGCGCTGCCCTCCCGGGAGGGGGCCGCCCTGTCACCACGCCTGCCGCCCCCTGCTGACGGCTTTGCTCCCGTCGTCGGCCACCGGCCCCTCGGGCAGCACCGCTCCCACAGGCCTCAGGGAGCGCGCTCAGGACGCCTTGCTCCAGTCCTGGCCCTCCCACTCTTGGGGAGCACTACCCCTCGGCTCGTCCATCTGTACAACGGAGTCAGCACGCCTACCTCGCAGGCTCGTATGGCCCGAGTTGGGGCGCTGGTAAAGAGCTGAGCACGAGGCCCATGCCCCGCGAGCCCCCACGGCATGGCTGGTGCCTGCCAAGGGCAGGGGGCGGGGGGCGACCACAGGCGTCTCTTCAGGTCAGAAGGCGCAAGGCCCAGAGGCAGACGTCCCTAGACACGTCCCACCCACCCCGGGGACAGGCTCTGACCACTCGTAGGTGCTCTCCTGTCCCGCCCGGGGCCGTGGGGCCGGGGATGCCCAGCAGCAGGCCTCACCCCAGGCGCTCCCCAGCCCGAGCGGCCCCTACCTCTGCACGGTTCCGCTGGCCTTAGCCCGCAACAGGTGCTGGAGAAGAGCCTGGAACTCTGGGTCTCGGGAGGCCTCCAGGCAGCTGGGGTTCCTGAGGGAGGTGTCCCACAGTGGCCTCTCAGACGCAGCTGGTGACAGCCTGTGAGCAAGCAAATGCCCAAGGCCGGGCTCAGACACGGGCTCTGGGCACAGGCCGACTTTGCCCCAGCCCTCGTGGAGACACAGAGCAGGTGTCACCCCGTGCCATCGATGAGCCTCAGAGGGACCGGGAGGGGCCTGGGGCCCGGCACCCTGCACGGTGAGGCTCTCCCGCCAAGTGAGACAGGCCGGGGGCTCCAGGGCCCAGGGCTGGAGGGAGGCGCTCTCATCAGGGCAGCTCACGGAACAGCAGGGAACGGGGAGGGGACCCAGGGACAGGCGTCATCCCTCGGGCTCACCTGAGCTGCAGATCCAAGGCCGCGGTCAGACAGGGCAGGTCCAGCAGCGCGTGGAGCATCTCCACGGCCGTGCTGGCGTCCACCAGCCACGGGAGGAGCGCCACGAACTCCGAGGTGAGGGGCGGGCTGTTCCAGGCCAGGAGCTGCAGGGACAAGCGTGGCGGCTCGGTGGGAACCAGGAGGGCCCGTGTGGGGCACGTGTCCCAGCGGCAGGGCCATTGGCTTGGAGCCCACGGGCTGCCGCAGGGAGAGCGCCTGGGTCCCGGATGGGCAGGGGTATCAGCAACCCCCCACTCTCCCTGGGCCACCTCGACCGGTTTTCTTTTTTTTTTTTAAGATTTTATTTATTTATTTGAGAGAGAGAAAATGAGAGACAGCACATGAGAGAGAGGAGGATCAGAGGAAGAAGCAGACTCCCTGCCGAGCAGGGAGCCCGATGCGGGACTCGATCCCGGGACTCCAGGATCGCGACCTGAGCCGAAGGCAGTCGCTTAACCAACTAAGCCACCCAGGCGCCCTCGACCGGTTTTTTGTTGCTACTCTGCTTCTGCGTTCACTTCTGTACCAACAAATAAAGCAACTCCTTTCTACTTGTCCTTGTTTTTCTAGCTGAATTTGCAGAGACCACGTGGTGACCACGCCAGTCACAAAAGACACGTCAAAAGCCAACACCACGGGCTCCTGGGTGGCTCAGTCGTTGGGCGTCTGCCTTCGGCTCCGGTCATGATCCCAAGGTCCTGGGATCGAGCCCCGCATCGGGCTCCCTGCTCCACGGGAAGCCTGCTTCTCCCTCTCCCACTTCCCCTGCTTGTGTTCCCTCTCTCGCTGTCTCTCTGTCAAATAAATAAATAACATCTTAAAAAAAAAAAACCAACAGCACAAAGGGCCGAGCACAGCAAGCAAGACTCCCACGTGAGGAGCCTACTTGATGTGATAATCGGGACAAATTCTAGGATCAACCACAGTCTGCCCTAGCTGCTGCGACGGGGCTCAGCATGGGGCTCTCCCTGGCGGGGACGCTGTTCCTACATGACGCATGGACCCCCCCGGGCCGTCCCTGGCCCTCTGCCGGCATCCTAGGCCGCCTCCGCGGAGGGAGGATGAGCGGGAAGCACTGCACCCCGCCCCCAACGCCGGCCCCCCTCTCCGGCCCGAGGACAACCGAGCGTGCCTTGAAGAGGTTGGGGAAGCTCCGCTTGAGAATGTCAAGGTTCCTGCCGAACAGGGGAAGGCTGTCCCCGCAGAAGCGGACAAACTCGAAGGCCAGCATGGGGCTGTGGAAGAGCTCGCAGGGGACCCTGGTGAACAGGTGCTGCAGGATGGCTTCCGAGTCCACGGCGGCCGCCTCCCCTGAAACACTGGCCTCGTCAGGGCCCAGGCCCCGGCACGGGGGTCCCCGGCTCGTCACGAGGATGCCCCTGCTGCTGAGTGGGGCCCTCAGAGTCCCAGACACCAGGGGCCCTGAGGTGTCCATGCTGCACGGGGAGCCCTGGCCGAGCTGCATCCAGCTCTCCCCAAGAGTCTCCGGCTACTGCCCAATCCCTCCAAGTCACATGATGTGGACCGTTCTTTGGAAAATGCTGGTTTCACGGCACCTCCCACGAAACTCCCGTGAACTCTCGTGGCAAAGAGAGATCTGAGATTGGTGTGGAATGTCGATCCGCTCCCTAAACCCATCTAAAAACTCTCCTATCGGGTGCTAACGGTCCCTCAAAGCAACCCGGGTCCACCCAACCAAGGAAGCGGCGCCACAAACAGGAAGAGGGGCCGAGCTTCGGCACGAAGCAGAAGAGTCTCCCGGCGCCGTGAGGCTCACCGTGGCTCAGGAAGAACTGCGCGATGGGCAGGAGCGCCCGCGCCCGGGCCGGGTCCCCACACAGCCGCACGTGCAGGGCCTTCAGGCAGGACAGCGTGCGGTATAGGAAGGACGGGTCCTGCCGGCAGAGCGTGTCCAGCACGAGCACGGCCTCCACCAGGCACTGCGGGGACGCGGAGGCCCAGCTCGCGGGGAGCCGCGCGGGAGGCCCGCCCGGCCCGCCCGCCCCACCCGGCACATACGGCTTTCTGCAGGTCCGCGTCCCCCCTTCTCAGGGCTCCTGGGGAAGGAAGAGAGGCAGCCACCTGGTCCCCGGTCAGCATCAAAACAGAGCGAGGGGCACCCTGTTCTGGAAGCTCGAGGAGGCGGCGGAGAGCAAACTGGGAGCGGAGGGACGGGCAGAGGGCCCCCCCGCAAGGTGGACGGGAGGCTGGGGCGGACGCCCGGCGGGCTGGGGGCAGGTTCCGCCCCCCGCCCAGCTCCCCGGGGTTTATGCCAGGAACACAAAGCCCCCCTCCCCCGGCACAGAGGCTGTCCAGGCCCCAGCCCGCCCGGCAGCCCGAGACGCCCCGGGGCCGGAGGCGCGGCGGCGGGACTCACGTCGCGTGCTCTGCTCCACGAGGCGCTGACAGTACTCGAAGGCCTTGTCCCTCAGCCGCTCCCGGGGGGGCCGCAGGCGGCTGGCGGTGGAGGCGGCCGACAGCACGGACAGGGTGGAGCCCTCCGGCTCCGACCTGTCGCCTGGAAGGAGAACGAGGCGCTCGAGGGGCGCGGAGTCCCCGCGGCAGGCTTCCTAGGCCTCGCCCGGCCGCGGCCGCCTCCACCCTCACCGGACGCCCCACGCAGTGGAGGCGTGTCCCCGCGAAGGCCGGCCTGTCTACACCGCGGTTGGTCCGCGCTGGGGAAGGGGTTTGGTGAAGCTGTCTGAACACCCCTGCTGACGCCTGCCCTCAGCGGTCGCTCTGGCTTCTCCCGCACGATGGGGACAGGCCTCCCGGTGCCAGCGAAGCTTGGCCAGCGTTGCTGGCGCCACCCGGGGCCCCACCCGGTCCCGCCCCCCTCCTGCCTGGAGACCCCCCGTGTCCCCCCCACCCCGTGTCCCACCTGCGTCCGGGGCGCTGGGGCCCTGGGGGCCGCTGTGCACCAGCCATGCCCGCAGCATGGAGAAGGCCTGCACGTTCAGCCACTGGTCCTCCGTGAAGTGCTGGCCCGTGGACAGCACCGTGAAGAAATCTGTGGCCACCGCCCCATCCACCTCGGTGACAGGGCCCGGCTGCGGGAGGCAAGGAAGGACGGGCTGTGGGGACCCGGGCCGGGAGGGTGCGGGGGGCAATGGGCTCACAGCGGGGAGGGCAGGGGGGCACTGTGTGCGAGTGGTAGCCCCGCCCTCACGCTCTCGAGGACTGGGGCAGCCCCCGTGAGACGCGTAAACACTGGCACCTGAGTGGACGCCGTCCTCCGTCAGATAAGTGATCTCATCAGCGGGTTTGGCCCACAGCATCACAGGGCTGTGACCCTGGTGACCCAAAGCCCCCCCCACACCCGAGTGGAGACACAAAAGAGGGATCCTTCTGGAACCAGGGCAGGTGGAAGGACAGGAGGCGTTGACGGGACCCTGGGGGCAAGACTGGCCAAGGTGGCACAGGGACGCCCAGGGACAGGGAGGTTCTGAGTCTCCAGGCTCACCTGCCGGGCTCTGGGTGTGGAGAAGAAGCCTCCGGAAGTGTGTGCGACCCCTTGCTGGACGCTCGCGTAGCGAAGCCACTCCACCAGCCTCTTGCTGAGCAGGTTGGTCTGGTCTGCGGGTAGGGAGTGGGCGGGGACAACATGCGGGAAATCGTCAATCCCACAGACTCAGGCTGCAGGGGCGCTGGCAGAGCTTTCTAGAAAACAAGCTCTGGACAGGGTGCTGGGCCCTCGGGCCTCCCCAGACTGCCCCTCCGCCATCCCTTCTGTGAGGGTGCTCCTCTCTCTCTGCGCCCGCACAGGCCTCTTGGGAAGGGTGACTACCTTCATGGAGGGTGTGCGGGGCCAGGTGCGTGACCTTGGACAAGACCGGGAGCAGGTGTCTCAGACTGGGCCCCTCGGGCTGCCGGCTCTCGAGGACTCTGAAGGCGTGCTGGCCCACGCTTCGGACCTCCTCCTTTTTGTCACCCTTCAAACAGAACACGGGGGGAGTGTGAAGCGATGACCCGCCTGAGTGTGTGGACGACAAGTCACCCGGTCTGAAAACACCGGGGAAGGGGCTGCCGATTCTGAAGGCCGCCACTCCAAGAGCATCTTCGTTTCCGAAACGCCCCCTCTTACCGCGTCCAGGAGCGTCACCACCAGGGCAGCCAGAATTAGCCTGCCTGGAGCCCGGAGCCCAGAGCCCAGAGCCCTGCCACTTCCCCGGGAGCAAGGGGGGACAGAGCAGGAGGGCACGGGGGAGGCTGGTGGACACCCCAGGGCCACCAAGGGCAGGACGGGCATGTCACCTGGGCCAAGAGCACAGAGGCCACCAGGCTCAGCTGCTGGCTGCTCTGGACGTGGTCCCAGGACAGGCTCAGGCTATCAGCAGGCGACCTCTCTCTCAGGATGGCGGCACAAAGGAACTGGAGCTGCTCGGGACACTTGGGCGAGCAGAGGGTGGTCTGCAGCAGGTCCATGCACGTCTTCTCCAGCCTGCGGGGGGGGGGGGGCAAGGCCACGTGGTGGGTGGCACGTCACCACGGGAGCACTGGCCCCCCCAGAGAAGACCCGGGGCCCCCTGGCCGGCAGAGAGAGCTCTCCATACGTGAGCGCTGTGAGCATCGCTTCCAGCGGGTGTAAGATGCCGAGGCCCGACACGCCACGAGCGGACAGGTACCCCCCACCAAGCTGGCCTCACGTGCTGGGAGCCTGCATCCTCCCGAAGATCATCACACTCACTTCCTCTTGTATTTCGTGGCTGAGACGATGAGGAAGAGCCTCTGCAGGGCGTCCACCGCATCAGGCCCCGGCTCGTCCTTCTGCAGCAGCTTAACAACCCGGGAACAAAACTTCTCCAGCTCCTCATCCTGGATCTCCCTAAATGAAGAGCAGGGCATCAGCAACCTGGTGTCAGGGGACCCGGCCACAGGAGCCAGAAATGCTGCCCTGAGCCGTGACAGACGGCCCTGGGGCTGGAGGAACATCCCCACGGAGCAGAGAAGCCCGGGTGTCCCGTGGGAGAGCGAGGCCACCACACGCGTATCCTCCCTCCCTGGGATGCGGCCGTCGTCGGGTCACTCCCCTCTCCTGCGGGCAGGGCTGTCGGGAGACCACCACGCCAGCGGCTACAGCAGACCCCGTCACGGCGACACCACCCCTCCGGATTTTTTGTTGTCCCAGGAGCAGAAGAACTAAAACCGATTGATGTTAGGAGTCAAAATGAAGAGTAGCCTGAAATAAGTTGCTTTTCAAAAAGATTCCTTCAATGAGCCTTCCAGTCCTGGAGCAAGAGTGGAATCTGCTACGTCAGAGGACAAACACTGTGACCTGTTCTCAGGTACGCCTACTACAGTTCCTGGTATTCACTCTGCTTCGTTAAAAAACATGCTTACTGAGCATCAACAAGAATTAAGATACCGAACAAAATCTCAAAACAGAAAGCTGGTTTTTGGGTTTCTGTTCCAGTCCAAAAGGAAAGACAAACCCAGGAAACACGGTACTAGGGACCTCTGGGGGGGGGTGCTCTCAGAGGAGGGCCCCCTCCAGCCCCCTAGCCACGGCTGAAGTCCACCGAATCCAGGCTGGACCAATCAGATGCTCGAGCTCAGGAACCCAGAATTTTGAACCAAGAGAGACGGGGCCGCTCCAGCCTTGGGCTTCCGAGGAGGCTGGCCGAGCATCTGCGGCTAGGTGCCTGGGGCAGCTTCTTGTGTTTCTTGTTCTTACTTGAAGGCTGGCAGATGAACCTCAATGAACTCCCCACCACTTCCGGTCTCCCTCCCACCTCCTAACACATTTTCATTTCTTACAAACACAACGGTCACACATGGGATGAGGACACAGAAAGACAAGAGGCCTGGTCAGGTCTGTTTCTCACCGGGCTAACGAGACTGAGCGAGAAGCCACCAGGATGCCTCAAAATAACATGGGAGACTCTTTCCTAGGATGGTGGTACCTCTCATCCCAATGAATCCCTTCCAGTATATTCTCTAGGTTGTGAGATTGTAAAAGTCCAATGTGCTCAAACCCTTCAATAGCTCCCCAGTGCTCTCAAACCCAAACTCCTACCGACACTAACAAGGCTTACAGGGTCCTGGGCCTGCCTTACTTCTCTAAGAACCACAAGTCCTGTTTCTCTTGCTCTTGATCCTCCCCACAGACCCTCTGCCTGAAATATCCCTCGCTGGTTATGTCCTCACGCAGAGCCTCTAATTAGTTGTCTTGGGCTTCTGGAAACTTCCCCTGACCTGCCACACACCCCCGTCCACCCCTTCTCCGAGTCCCACTTCCTTCACTTGTCTTCAGCTTACGAGAGATGCTTCTGGTGACTTTTTCCACCCTTGCTTTCCATCACCAAAAAGTTCAGACACTAAAATTCACTACAAATCCTAACTCCTGAACGTTAGCAATTTATTTTAAAGTGCCACCCCAAATCACAGGCTTAATTAGAGTGGAATACAGTGAAAACCAGTAAGACCTAACTGATAATGACTAGTTTTTCTCAAACCCTAGTGGAGACAAATTGCGTAAGTCATGCATCTTACTTACGGATATTGAACCACACGCTACCCTCAACTCCCTCACTCCCCCACCCGAGACAGAGAGAGGATTAAGAATTTAGATAGTGAGTGTTATTCATTCTGCCTTTCATTCTGCATATTTATGACCTGGAGGAGAAGGTGAGCTGGGGAGAGGGAAGACCGGTGAAGTTCTGGGCGGGTCTCAGTTCTTACGTGTCTCTTGGCAAGAACGCTGGGGTGTGTCACACGTTGAGTGAGATGCTATTTTCACGTAATACAGCCCCTAAATTCAAGTGAGCTCGAGTTGTAATACTGGAGCTTGAATGCTGGATGTCCAACAGGGAAGGAAACACAGATGGTGCTACGAATCCACAAAGCACTTTCTGAGCAGATTTTCAAGGGTTATTTTGACCACAGATTTTTGCCCTCTTCCCAGCCTTCAGAACCTAATCTGCATTCAAGATCTTGTTTCCTTAAATTACAGCAGCCTCAACTATCCTGTCTTTCCCACCAGGTGGTCCAGCTCCAGATCCAATTTTAGGGTTTTTTTAGAAAAGTTTTGCCACCGGCTTGTGGTTCTGACTGCGTTTTCTTCTAAACAAGTGACGTCAAGTCTTACACTGTCAGATGGACGGCGGGGTTTGGTCCTAGCCTGATTCTTTCTCCCGTGGCTGGTTAGGCGCCGAGGAAAGGGCTTACTGACTAGTCAGTAGGAGTCCAGGGCCAGCTGGGCGCCAGGAGTCGGTGGGTAACTTCTCGACCCTATCTAATGCATCTGCAGCAGAGCGATTTTGTAAATCGCAGATTCCGCCCTTGGCTCCCCAAAGCCCTCGGACGGTATCAGATTCCTGCGCCTGGCACGCAGAACTCGCGGGCCTCAACGCCAGCAGGCTCTCCAGCCTCTTGGCGGCTTCATGCCCTTGCCCCGGAGGCATCCGACAGCCTCCGGCTCCCCTCCCTTGCTGCTGGACGTCGGGGGGCCCCGCCCCGCTTCCCAGGCACGCACCCTTCGCGACGCTGCTCAGGCGCCGCCGCCTCCGGGGACCCGCGGGCCCCTTCCCCCGGGCCCCTCCCTCCGGGCCCGGACGGCGTGGCCTCCCCGCTCCGCGGGTCTCTAGGGCGGGTCTGGGTGGGCTGCTCCAGGTCTCCGCGCGCGGGCCCAGCTCTGTCAGACCCTCCCCCCCCACCCCGCCAGGAGCCCCAAGGGAAACGCCGGGGCACCTGGCCTGGTGGAGCAGACTCTCCGCCCCCGCCGTGAACATGCCGCCGCCGCCGCCGCCGCCGCCCCGCTGCTTCCGGGTCGCGTCACGTGCCGCGTCACGTGGGCGGCGCGGACAGGCCGCCGACCAATGGGCTTTGGTGGAGCCCGTCCCACGGGGGGGGCCGTCAGCGAGCGGGCCGCCCGTTCAGGGGGGCGCCTGGTTTCCTTGGTGGGCCGCGGACCCCGGAACTTTGGGATCTGGAGCCCTGCGACCTCGGAACCTCCGCACCCCGGACCCCAAGACCCTAAGATCTCGGCACCCCGCGACCCCGAGCTCCCAGGACCCCATGACCCGGGAACCTAGGCACTCTGCGACCGGGACCCTAGGACCCCGTGACCCCAGGCCCCAGCTCCCCCTCCACCATGGACTCTGGGCACCCGGGTGCCGGTAGGAGACGGCCTGTCGCCAGCCCGAGCACCAATGCCCCACTTTTGGGTTGTCTCCTGACCACAGGCGGCACTGTCAGCGTGGGGGTCTTTTGCTCAGTACGACCTAAAAGCATGACACACGCTCTGGTGTGGGCTGCATCCGTGTGCAGCAGTTTGCAAGAACAGCCGAGCTTCTCAGCCCTGCGGCTTTGCTGTTTTGAGGCTCCATGTATTTAGGGCCTATCATAGGCTTGTAGTGCTGCTTTAAAGTCTTACTCCCTGTCCCCCATAACCACAGACTGTGAGGCAACAGGCTTAGAGAGGGAAAACCAATTTCTAGTCCTTCTGAAAGATGTGTTGGCCTCAGTATTCCTGCCTGCAGACTGTGTGTGGTAAATGTGGTTCCAGCCCGAACTGGGCAGGCAGGGTGCACGGGAGGAAGATTTCCAGAGGGACAGGAGCCTAAGAGGAGCCCAGAGGGTGTCAGAGGTGGGAAGGGGCAGGCAGGGGCGAAAGTCCTGAAGGCAGCAGTGCAGGCCTGCTTCCTGGGGCGCACATGCACCTGAGGGGGGACCTGATGTCTGGCAGCGGGATAAAGAGTGCATGGGGTGGCCTTGGGGGAGAGAGGGATGTCCCCCGAGCCAGGTAAAGGCCATGAGGACAGGAAGTAGGAAGATTCAGTAACCATTCAGGGCTAGGATTTGTAGGACCTGGAGATGGATTTGGGGACAGGAGAAGGGACAGGGCAACAGCAGGTTTCTGGCTTTCCGCGTGGAACCATTCCCTTGGCACTGGGGCAGGAGGAGTCCCTTTGCTGTGCTAGGGAGTATCTCAGGTTCTGGGGAACAGTGAACAGGGGAGGCCAGGCCCTGCCCTCGGGAAATTTACAGTCAGCAGGTGGACAGTGATCAGATAGGCAAACACACACCGCAGCCTAGTAGTGGGAAGTGCCATGGAGGGGGGATGAAGATGCAGGTACTGCAGGCACTCGGGCAGGGTGGTGGGTCAGGGGGGCCTCAGAGGGACAAGCAGTGAGGGGACGCCTGATGCAGGAGAGGGGCGGAGACGGGACGGGCCAGCTACTCACCTGCCAGAAACCCGGACTTGGCGGTTTGAGATGCCCTGATGGTACCCAGGAGGCATGGAGGGCGACGGGTGCCGAGGAGTTAAGAGACGAGAGCTGCAGAGTGACGAGGAGGGGACCTGGGTCGGGAAGTCTGTTACAGGGGGTCCTTGGGGAAGGCCCAGCACTGCGCATTGGTGATCTCATCGAACCTGTCGGACAACTCCGAGCCGGAGTTTTATTATCACCATTTGAAGGATGATCGGACTGAAGCTAAAACCAGGTAAGGTGCCCGAGGTCCACACCTGTCAGGGGAGAAGCATGCTGAGCCAGCAGCCACGCCGTCCCCTGCCTGCTGCCCCCTGAGGAATGGCCAGAGCAGTGGGAAGACATCCAGGAGAATGCAGGGTCGCAGAGGTCAAGTCCCGAGAGCCGCTGGGGCTGCCCTGCTAGGGCTGCAGACCTGAAAGGGAGCGGGGAGTCGCAGCTGCTGCTAGGAGGCTGGGGGGGTAGTGGGGAGGTTGGGGGGGTCCCAGGGCTAGGAGGGGAGGCACCTGGGGGTGGCCCAAGGCGGCCGGCCCCGGCTGGGCTGCGGAAACTAACTGCAGTCGCCTACTGTTGTCACATCGTTAAATGAAGGATGTTGTCGGACAGGACGCACTCTTCCCTGATACTGAAGGGCGAGGCTGACGAGCAGAGGCGGGGCCCCACCCCCACTCCCACCCCGGAATCGCAAGCGCACAGGAGGTTGAGAGTGAGGCTGCCGGTAGCTCGATCACGACCCACGGCTGTGGAGGGAGTTCGCTGGCTCACCTGGGCCGAGGCGCGCACAGCAAATCCACGGCACCTGCATTGAGACCTACGCCATCTGAGACCTGGGAAGGAGTTCCAACACTAGTTTCGTGGCTTAAAAGGATGTTTATTAAGGTAAGATACATACGAAGTACATAGATTTTGAGTGAACTCCGTGATCCTTCCCACTAATCCGTGGTATGCTGGTAAATGTTTACCTGGCTCACCGGGACGGGGGGCTTGGGGGGGCGAGGGGCTGACCTGTAGCGTTTGATGATTTCCGTGTACAAATACCCTCCAAACGGCAGATTTCAGGCTGCCAACGTGACGTCACTGCACCGCTGGGAGAGCCGCAGAAACCGAACGGACACGAGGGAGGGCAATGACCCGGAGAGCAGAGATAGAGTCAAACGATAGTAAGAGAGGAACCGCGTACTTATCACCTTCGTTTTTAATGTAATGTATTTAATTGTAAGTTTGTATCATTAAAATTTGAAGAATGGCTTTAGCAGCTGGCTGCCCAAATTCCTGAAGATGTAGCGAGCCGCTGTGGCAAGCTGACCCCGGCCCAGCCCTCCCTGCTGGTCCCCGGCGCCTCCTCTTATCACCGTGGGTCGGTTCTGCCTAACTGTTAGCGCTTCACACAAATGGGGCCCTGCGGCGTGGAGCCTTCTCTGTGGCTCCTTCCCCGGACACCTGTGAGGACCACAGGGACTTACCAGCGCTTGGCCGTCCCGCTGTCGGTGAACCCTCGGTGTGTGTCCAGCTTCGGCAACCATGGACGTGGCTGGATGTGCAGTCGCTCTGTGGTGCCTCACTTTGGTACTAGCCCGGCTTCGCTTCTGAGAACACACTGCGCCAGGACTGTTCTCTCTCCGGACGCACGCACGCCCCAAGCCTCTTCCCAACGGTAACGATACACGACGGTTTCTCACAAAGTTCTCATTTGTGTAAGATGTTATCTTGAGGTCTGATTTTTACTATCTTTCTGTTTATATTTTAAGTGGGCTCCATGACCAGCGTGGAGCCCATCGTGGGGCTCGAACTCAAGACCCTGAAATCACGACCTGAGCCAAAATCAAGAGTCGGATGCTTAACCGACCGAGCCACCCAGGCGCCCCAATCTTAAGGTCTTACTAGTGAGAAATGGCTGTCTCAGTCAAAACCAAAACTGAAAAAACTGCGTATTTCAGGAAGATGCTCACTGGCCATCATAGCTGTCGAGACTTACCATCCTCATTCTTGCTTGTTATTTGGCCAAAATCCTCAGACGTCCTGTTACCGGTGTGGGAAGGCTTACCATTAGACTCGTACGGTGTCCGCGGGGTAACGTGAAGGACAGCCGTGTTCACGCGTCTGCTACAGCCGTGGGCTCCTGCAGACCTGGAAAAGGCCAGTGACTGACGCTCCAAGAGGTGACGAGCGACAGGCGCATGGACTAGAGAACCTTGACCAAAGGTGTGTTGTGTGACAAGCACACATTTCTCTGAGAGCCAAGTCCAGCAGAGGCACGCTTCTTCGTGCGATGACTTAATCGTAAAGCCGGCGGGCGCCGCAGAGAGGGGGTTTCACCACAGCCGATGTGCCCTGGGCCACGTGATGCACGGAATACTGCGAGACGGGGGCGCCCGTTCTGTGGATGAAGACATGGAGCTTCTTGCAGCCTAAAGCCCCCCCCGCCCCCGCCGGACTTTGAATCAAGTCTGACTCCGGCATCCGGGCAGACCACCTCTGCCTCGCGGCCCTCCGCTTTGCCCTCAGTACCCAGAACAAGCAAGACCTAAGAGACGACATGCACACAGGGGCAGAAAGTCTCATGTGGCCGAGTGCCGGCAGGAGGGACCCCCAGCTGTCCAGGGTCTGCTTCGGGGGGTGCACGGGCGCAGCCACCCGGGGCATCCCCCAGCTGAGCTGTTGGTGCCCAGGAGCGGGGCGAGGCTCCACGGGCCAGGGGCAGAGGGGAGTGGTCTTCCCGTCCCTGGGGCTGCAAACACTCGGATGCAGGGAACTCGCTGAGGCTCGGTGAGGCCAGGAAGTCACGGGCAGCTCCCGTCAATTCGCGCCTTCCCAGGAGTGGGCTACTGAGCACAATGGGAAAACGCGCACCTTCCCCAGCAGTGGCCCCTCAGGTCAGGCGCCCCCTGTCCAGGGAGCGCACGGGGGCTGCGTGTCCGGGCCATCTGCCCATCCACCCGTCTGTCCCCCCAGGAGCCACTCCCAAGGACCACACGGAGCCCCGGGCTCATTTCTGTAACATATAATTTTATTTCCGGTTATAGAAACAAATGCTAAGAGGATAAACCGAACTTCCCCATCCACATACAACAATTTAATAGATAAAAGGACAGTTAAAATAAACGAAAAACAAAAAGTAGAAATTTTTAAACTTTGTTATAGCTTTAAAACATTAACGTCTGATACAATTAGAAATCACATTCAGATCTCAAACTTTTAAAAAAAAGTATGGCTCCTTATTAAAAAAATACTGTATTCCATTTGAAATGAAAACGCAGGCGGGCCCAGCTGCTGTGGGCCTCTCGTCTTTCTGAGGACGGGACTGCTGGCTCCCTGCCACCTGTGGGGCGTCTGGGCCCCCCTGGGCTTCCCGTGGACCGACGTGCACACAGGTGGTGGAAACTGGCAGCACGGTGGGGCCTCCGATCCCATGAGCTAGTTTCCACTGTCTGGGGTCCCACTGCTTTTAAAGCACTGATTATCACGTGTACTGCAGAAAATACTTTAGACAGCCGCTGTAAGAAAACACTCTCACATGCGCGCACACGCACACCCCTAACACCCGCCCCCCAAATTATCTTTA